TGAGATTGCCGACGGAGCGCCGCGCGTTGGCTGGCGCGCGACCGTTCGCCTCTCGCAGTATCCACGCGGTGCGCCTGCCCCGCTGTCGCGTGCAAAGGCACGACCGTGCGCATTCCTGCTAGGAAAATGATGGTCTGTCAGTGCCACGTCGGGGAAGGGAAGGAAAGCAGAAGGAAGGGCATACGTAGAGATTGTCTGACGTTCTCGACACCCCTGGAGTTTCGAAACGGCGGGGAGGGGGAGCGCGAGGGGGCGGGTCTGGCGCCCCCTCGCACATGGCCACGGAAGGCGTCGTGTGATGCCCTTCGCGGCGGACTGCAGTGCGAGAGGGCGCCGGGCGCGTGCCCCTCGCGCTCCCCCCCGTGAAACCCCGTGGGACTTGACAAACGGGCCCCTGGAACTCCTCGGGGCTTGCTCTACGAGGTCTTGGGCGAATCACCTGGGTCCGCGGAGCCGAGCGGCGCATCTGCGTCGTTTTTTTTTGTCGCGTCGCGGTTTTCTGCTAGATGCACCAGCAAGGCACCAAAGCATAGCCGAAGAAGCTGCCGCAGGCATAACGTTCTGCATGGCACACCAAGAATGCCCAAGGGGCCGCCGGAGGCGTATTTCCATTCCCCAGCACAGCCAGAGCGGCCGCCGTAGGCGTGTTTTCACGTGCAAGGCAGTCCCCAGGGGATGGGACCTACCTGGAAGCGCTTGGGAGCGCCAGGGAGCGCCGGGGAGCGCCTGGGAGCTTGCCGGGAGCGCCTGAGAGCGCCTGGGAGCGCCATGCGCCTGGGTGCGTTGGGAGCGCTTTGGAGCGTGCCGAAAGCGCCGGGGAGCGCTTGGGAGCGCTTGGGAACGCTTGGGAGCGCTGGGGAGCGCCTGAACACGCTTGGGAGCGCCTGGGAGCGCCTGGGAGCGCTTGGGAGCGCCTGGGGGCGCCTGGGAGCGCCTGGAAACGCCTGGGAGCGCCTGGGAGCGCTTGGGAGCGCCTGGGACGTGCGCCAGCCGAAAGGACGCCGCATACTGTATTTTCATATGGTTTGCGGCCCCACGGGCGGCCGAAAGAGCGCCGCATGCTGTATTTTCATAGGTTTCGAGCCCCAGGGGATGGGACCAATCGCAGGGCACCCACTGGCTGGGCCTAGGGTTAAGGGTTCTATTCAACTCTCGGAGCACTCACAAGGCATCCCCGCGGGGGAGCGCATCCTCCTCAGCGCTACGCGCTTCGTCGGTGCGGCGTTCGCGCATGGGCGGACTCGCTGATCGCTCGGCCAGGCGCCACGGGCTTCTGACGATGCACCGCCCGTGGCTTGCAGTTTAGGGTTTAGGGTTTAGGGTTTAGGGCCTCCCTGGGCGGAAGCAGCTCGACCCCCCCTCCTTCAAGAGGTTGGGGGGGTCGGCTGCTATTCGTTCCCGTTCCCCCCCCCCCACCCAAAAGTACCCCTTTAGGGCTTAGGGTTCTTCTACCCCCCTCTCTCCCCCCTTCTCATGGGGGGAAGGTCGCTCTTGCGGATCATCTTCGGGCGTCAACCAGCTGTCGATCTACACCCCTTCCCCCCCCTCGCATGGGGGGACTAACTTTCTATTTCTCGGAGCCGCATCTTGCTCGCAGGGTGATCTTTCGGTTTTCATTTCGAATTTCCATGCAGCGCCTGGGAGCGCCTGGGAGCGCTTGGGACCGCTTGGGACCGCTTGAGACCGCTTGGGGGCGCTTGTGAGCCCCCGGGAGCGCTTGGGAGCGCCAGGGAGCGCCTGGGGGCGCCTGCCTGGGAGCGTCTGGGAGCATTTGGCAGCGCTTGGCAGCGCCTGGGCAGCGCCTTGGAGCGCCTGGGGGGGCGCCGGGAAACGCTTGGGAGCGCCGGGTAGCGCCTGGGAGCGCCTGGGAGCGCCTGGGAGCGCTTGGGAGCGCTCGGGGGCGCTTGGTGCGAGCGCTTGGGGGAGCTTGGGGGCCCTTGGGAGCGCCTGGGAGCGCCTGGGAGCGCTTGGGTGCGCCTGGGAGCGCTTGGGAGCACCTGGAACGCGCAGGAGCGTCTGGGAGCGCTTGGGAGCGCCTGGGAGCGCTTGGCAACGTTTGGGAAGCGCCTTGGAGCGCCAGGGGGCGCTTGGAGCTGGGAGCGCCTGGGAGCGCTTGGCAGCGCTTGGCAAGCGCCTTAGAGCACTTGGGGGCGCCGGGAAGCGCTTGGGAGCGCTTGGGAGCGCCTGGGAGCGCCTGGGAGCGCCTGGGAGCTCCTGGGAGCGCATGGGAGCGCCTGGAAGCGCTTTGGAGCGCCTGGGGGCGCTTGTGAGCGCCTAGGAGCGCCTGCGAGCGCGTGGGAAGCGCTTGGGAGCGCCTGAGAGCGCCTGGGGGCGCCTGGCAGCGCCTGGGAACGCTTTGGAGCGCTTGGGAGCGCTTGCCAGCACTTGGGGGCGCTTGGCAGCACTTGGGCGCTTGGACCCAGGCGCTCCCAGGCGCTCCCAGGCGCTCCCAAGCGGCTGAGGGCATCGGGTCTCGAGCATTGTTGTCATCTTGTGACAAGCCGGGGCTGCCTTTGGCTTGGGATAATCCCGGCTGGATCTCACACATGGCACCCTCGAAGATTTGGCGGGTGGGGGAGCGCGAGGGGGCGGGTCGGGCGCCCCCTCGCATCTGATGGTGCTTTACGGATTTCTCTGGTGTGGTATCCCTTCCAACGCGCGGGCCTGGCCTGGCTTGGCGCTCCCAGGCGCTCCCCAGCGCCCCCAGGCGCCTTCCAAGCGCCTTCCAAGCGCTCCCAAGCGCTCCCAGGCGCTCCCAAGCGCTCCCAGACCAGGCGCTCCCAGGCGCTCCCAAGCGCTCCCAGGCGCTCCCAGGCGCCCCCAAGCGCTCCCAAGCGGAGGTCTGGCGCTTCCAGGCGCTCCCAAACGTTCCCAGGCGCTTCCAGGCGCTCCCAGGCGCTCGCAAGCGTTCCCAGGCGCTCCCAGGCGTGCCCAGGCGCTCCCAAGCGCTGTAGGCGCACCCAGGTGTCCCCAGGCGCTCCCCAGCGCTCCCAGGCGCTCCAGAAGCGCCCCCCGGCGCTCCCAAGCGGTCCAAAGCGCCCCCAAGCGCTCCAGGCGTCCCGGGCGGTCCCAGGCGCTCCCAAGCGCACCCGGGCGCTCCCAAGTGTCCCAGGCGCTCCAGAAGCGCTCCCCGGCGCTCCCAAGCGGTTCCAAGCGCTCCCAAGCGCTCCAGGCGTCTCGGGCGGCTCCAGGCGTCTCGGGCGGCTCCAGGCGCTCCCAGGCGCTCCCAGGCGCTCTCAGGCGCTCCCAGGCGCCCCTCGGCGCTCCCAAGCGGTCCCCCGGCGCCCCCAGACGCTCCCAAGCGCTTCCCAAGCGCTCCCCAGCGCTTCCAGGCGCTCCCAGGCGCTCCGAGGCGCCCCCAGGCGCTCCCAGGCGCTCCCAGGCGCTCCCAGGCGCTCCCAGGCGCTCCCAGGCGCTCCCAGGCGCTCCCAGGCGCTCCCAAGCGCTCCCAAGCGCTCCCAGGCGCTCCCAAGCGCTCCCAGGCGCTCCCAAGTGAAGTTTATCCTCCCAGGGGCCAACAAGGAAACGCCAGAGCAAACCGTTCCAGGGTTAAGGGTTCTTCTGTTTGGCGGAGCGCAGCACTGGCGTCGGCCTGAGAACGTTCTGGGAGCTCGACTATCGCTCGCTCCTCGCCACCGAAAGCGTTCGAGGTCGAGAGCGCGACCCAACGGGGTCGCGCTTCAGTTTAGGGTTTAGGGTGTAGGGTTTAGGGTTTAGGGTCTAACAGGGCAAAGCCAAGAATACCTACCTGCATTGGCACCCACCTGCGGTGGCTATCAATCCCCCCCGCATCTCCACCCCCACATAAAGATCATCTCTCCTCTCATGCTATACCGTGGCTGTAGCATAGCATAGCATACCATAGCAAGCCTGGGAGCAAGCGCTTAGCAAAGAGGCGGCGGCCGCGCGCGCGCGTACACTTGACGCGCGTGAACCCTAACAAGCGGGTCGGGTCGGGTCGGGCGCACTCGAGGGTTCGCCCGACCTCAACGTGTTTTGCATAGGATTGTGGTGGTTTACATAGCGGGACGTAAAGATCCACATAGCAGGCTCGATCCAGGGGTGCGCCTGGTGGCGCGCATATCAGTTTATAGTATTTTGTGCATAGGGTTGTGGGAGGTTCACATAGCGGGTCGTAAAGATCCCCATAGCAGGCTCGATCCAGGAGCGCGCCTGGGAGCACGCATGATCAGGAAATAATATGTTTTGCATAGGATTGTGTGGTTTACATAGCGGGCCGTAAAGATCCCCATAGCAGGCTCGATCCAGGACCGCGCCTGGGAGCACGCATGATCTGGAAATAGTACGTTTTGCAAAGGATTGTGGGGGGGTTACATGGCGAACCGCAGGGCGAAGCGCAGGGCGAATCGCAAGAAGCCGCCTCTGTAGGGTTTAGGGTTTAATAATAATAAGATTAGAGATTTAGGGTTTAGGGTTTAGGGTTTAGGGATTAGGGTTTAGGGTTTAGGGTTTAGGGTTTAGGGTGTAGGGTCTAACAGGGCAAGGCCAGGAATACCTACCTGCATAGGCACCCACCTGCGGTGGCTATCAATCCCCCCCGCATCTCCACCCCCACATAAAGACCACCTCTCCTCTCACGTTATACCCTAACGAGCGGGTCGGGCGGGCGGGGCCCTAACGGGCGGGTCGGGCGGGCGAGGCCCTAACGGGCGGGTCGGGCGGGCGGGGCCCTAACGGGCGGGTCGGGCGGGCGGGGCCCTAACGGGCGGGTCGGGCGGGCGGGGCCCTAAACCGCAAATCCTCACCATGCACCTATCTCACAATGCAAACGTCGCTTGGACGGTGTGACTCGCTTGCCTTGTGCTATGACCTGTCTGTTCGTATTTCAGTGGGGGCTATGCTATGCTATGTCATGCTATGCTATGCTATGCTATGTTTTGAGCGTGCTAACCAAGCGATATCTAGGACTATCTCTGTGTATCTGTTTCCGCGTGCGCGTGTGTTGTCACCTCTGCCTATCCGCGGGCGTCTCGGCTCGGAGCTCGGCTCGGTCCTTGTTCTGAGGCGTGGGATCCTATCCAAGAGTTTTTTGTCTGTGCCCTACCCGCGCGCATCTCTCCATGGCGGCCGCGAGCTCGTGCAAGAGATCCATATCGTCGGCCCGTTGCCCTATTGGCGACGTTCGCCATCGCGTGCAAGAGATCCATGCAATAATGGCCGAGCACGACGACTGGGGCCACAAGCGGGTGGCAAACTCTTTGGCGGACAAGCTGAATGTGACTATTGAGGATACGGACAGACAGGCTGTCCTCGTCATCATGAAGAAGAAGAAGCTCGAGCAGGAGGGGCAGGCTCGGTTGAACATGCGGGACTATACCGACACGATCAAGAAGTTCATGTCAGAGAACCCGGACGCTGGTAAGAGCAGCATCGGCTCTCTATTGGCGCAACGGTTTGACATCAAGTTGGCCCCCGCGGACTATGCGGTTATCGAACGCATCATGCGGGAGCTGCGGGATGGGCGCGTCGCCAAGCATACGTTGATCCAGGACAGCCCATCCAAGCCGCTGTACGAAGCATGCAAGGACATCACGCCGCACAAGCAGACTATCGCGGAGTTGTGGGCCGAGAACCCCGGGCACGGTTACAAGGCTATCGGCAAGGCGTTGGAGCACAAGTGCAAAGTGCGGCTATCCGACGCATGTTATGGTGCAATCCGGCGCATGCTGGCAAAGCCAAAAGAGCATCCAATACTATAGTAGTCACGCCACTGTGCTATCCGACGTCCCGCCACTGAAGTTGAGACGTCTGTAGAGGCAGTCTGATTTCTTCCTTACGTACCTTACCTATGATTCATTGCTGTGCTATCCTTTGCTATGCTATGCATGCTCTGCTATGCAATGCTACACCATAGGTTCCCCACTTTTTGGGGGACCTACGCGTTGACATGTTGTGATATGCTATGCTATGATATGCTATGCTATACTATGCTACACCATAGGTTCCCCACTTTTTCGGGGGAACCTATGCGTTGCCATGCCGTGCTATGCTAGGCTATGCTATACTATGGTATGCTATGCTACACCATGGGTTCCCCAGTTGTTGGGGAACCTATGCTTTGGCATGTGGTGCTATGCTATGCTATGTTACGTTATGATGTGCCACACCATAGTATCCCCACTGTGTGGGGAACCTATGCTTTGCCATGCTGCGCTATGCTATGCCATGCTATGCCATGCCATGCTTTTCCGTAGATTCCCAACTTTTTGGGGAACCCATGAACTCCTATACTCCATCCTGCTATCTCTGGCCACGCCCATGCTGTGCTATGCTATGCTGTGCCATGCTATGCTATGCTATGATACACCATAGGTTCCCCAGTTTGTGGGGAACCTATCCTCTGCCACGGCGGACGTGGAGGAGGAGGAGGAGGAGGAGAGGGAGGAGGAGGAGGAGGAGGAGGATAATAGGGAGGAGGAGATGGAGAGAGAGAGGAGGGGGAGGAGGGAAGAGATATTGATGATGATGAAGATGATGACGATGATGACGGTGCGCTGATGATGATGAGGATGATGATGATGTTGATGCTGATGCTGATGCTGATGATGATGAAACTGATGCAGCGGATGATGATGATGATGATGCTGATACTGATGCTGATGATAATGATGATACATATGCATGCTGTGCTATGATATGCTATGTTATGCTATGCTATGCCACACCATGACCCCACTTTTTGGGGGAACATATGCTTTACCATGATGTGCTATGCTGTGCTATGCTATGCTATGCTATACTACATCATAGGTTATCCACCTTTAGGGGAATCTACGATTTGCCATGTTATGCTATGTTATGCTATGCCATGGTCTGCCATGCTATGCTAGACCATAGGTTCCCAACTTTTTGGGGAACCTCTGCTTTGCCATGCTGTGCTCTGCCATGCTATGATATGCTGTGCTACACCATAGGTCACCCACTTTGGGGTAACCTATGCGTTGCCATGCTGTGCCATGCCATGCTATGTTATGCTATGCTACACCATGGGCACACGTTTTGGGTAACCTGTGCTTTGCCATGTTGTTTTATGCTATGCTATACTATGCTATGCTATACTACACCATAGGTTGCCCACGTTTTGGGGAACCCATGCTTTGTCATGCTTTGCTATGCTATGCTATGATATATTATGATATGCTATGCCACCCCATATGTTCCCCACTTTTTGGGAAACCTATGCGTTGCCATGTTGTGCTATGCTATGCTATGATATGCTATGCTTTGCTATGCTACACCATAGCTTCACCACTTTGTTTTTTCGGGGGGAACATATGCGTTGCCATGCCGTGTTATGCTATGATATGCTATGCTATGCTATGCTATGGTACACCATGGGTTCCCCAGTTTTTGGGGAACCTATGCTTTGTCATGCTATGCTATGCTATGTTATGCTATGCTATGTCACACCATATGATCCCCACTTTTTGGGGAACCTATGCCTTGCCATGCTGCGCTATGCTATGCTATGCTATGCCATGTCATGCTATACCGTAGATTCCCCACTTTTGGGGGAATCCATGAGTAACACCATCCGGCTATACCTGGCCACGCCCATGCTGTGCTATGCTATGCTGTGCCATGCTATGCTATGCTATGCTACACCATAGGTTCCCCCAGTTTTTGTTTCGGGAACCTGTCCCATGATGGGCTATGTAATGCTATATTGGTGCACCCACTAGGTTACCCACTTTTTGGACAACCTATGCTCTGCCATGGCGGACGTGGAGGAGGAGGAGGAGGAGGAGAGGGAGGAGAGGAGGAGGAGGATAATAGGGAGGAGGAGATGGAAAGAGAGGAGGAGGAGGAGGGAAGAGAGAATGATGATGACGAAGATGATGGTGATGATGATGACGATGCGCTGATGATGATGAGGATGATGATGATGATGATGCTGATGCTGATGCTGATGCTGATGCAGATGATGATGCTGATCCTGATGCTGATGCTGATGACGATGATACAGATGCATGCTGTGCTTTGATATGCTATGCTATGAAATATGCTAAGACACAGAATAGGTTCCCCACTTTTTGGGGAACCTGTGCTTTGCCATGATGTGCTATGCTGTGCTATGCTATGCTATGCTATGCTACATCACAGATTCCCCACCTTTAGGGGAGGAGATGCTTTGCCATGTTGTGCTATGCTATGCTATGCCATGATATGCTATGCTATGCTACACCATAGGTTCCCCACTTTTTGGGGAACCTCTGCTTTGCCATGCTGTGCTCTGCCATGCTATGCTATGCGATGCTACACCATGGGGCCCACTTTTGGGTAACATATGCTTTGCCATGCGGTGCCATGCTATGCTATGCTATGCGATGGTACACCATAGGTTACACACTTTTTGGGTGATCTATGCTTTGCCATGCTGTGCTATGCCATGCCATGCCATGCGATGCTACAACATAGGTTCCCCTTTTTTTGGGGAACCTATGATTTGCCATGCTGTGCTATGCTATGCTATGCTATGCTGTGCTACAGTTATACGCTTTTTGGGTAACCTGTGCGTTGCCATGATGTACAATGCTATGCTATGTTATGCTATGCTACACCATAGATTACCCACATTTTGGGTAATCTATGCTATGCCATGCAGTAGTGCTATGCCATGCTATGCTATGCGATGCGACAACATAGGTTCCCCACTTTTTGGGAAACCTATGCTCTGCCATGCGGTGCTATGCTATGCTATGTTATGCTATGCTATGCCACACCATAGGTTCCCCAATTTTTTTGGCGAACATCTGCATTGCCATGCTGAGCCACGCTATGCTATGCTATGCTATGCTGTGCTGTATCTTAGGTTCTCCACTTGTTAGGGGAACCTATGCTTGGCCATGCGGTGCTATGCTATGCTATGCTATGCTATGCTACACCATAGATTACCCACTTGTCGGGTAACCTATGTTTTGCCATGCTGTGCTATGCCATGCTATGCTATGCTATGTTATGCTGCAGCATAGGTTCCCCACTTGTTGGGGAACCGATGCTTTGCCATGCTGTGCAATGCTATGCTATGCTATGCTATGCTATGCTACACCATATATTCCCCACTGTTTGGGGAACCTATGCCTCGACATGCGGTGCAATGCTATGCTATGCTATGCTTTGCTATGCTACACCACAGGCTTCCTACTTTTAGGGGAACATATCCTTTGTCATGTTGTGATATGCTATGCTATGCCATGGTATGCTATGCTATGCTACACAATAGGTCCCCCACTTTTTGGGGGAACCTATGCTTTGCCATGCTGTGCTATGCGATGCTATGCTTTGCTATGCTTTGCTATGCAACAGCAGTAATGCATGTTTCTATATCACCATCATGGATACACATACATCCATGCAGTAATCATCCACGCAATGATCGTTTCCTCTCTATCTTCCTCTTAGCCAGACGCGCATTTTTTGCTGCTTATGCAGCGCGTTTTTTATCAGCAAAGCCTATCGCTGTAAAACAGCGCTGGGGCGATGCTATCTTGGGACGCGAATGCCCAGTCTCTTCTGGCCACGCCCCGACTTGTCAACCTCATTCAGTCGTGTACTCCATTCTTCCGATACTCCTATCTCCGTCCGTGCATCATGATGACAAATATATACATGCAGTAATCACCCATGCAATAATCATTTCCTCTCTATCTTCCTCTTGGCCAGGAGCGCTAGCTCATTTTGCTGCTTATGCAGCACGTTTTTATCAGCTGCCTATCGCTGGTCAAATCATCGCTGGGGCGATGCTATCTTGGGGCAAAGATTCCCCACTCTCTGGGCCGGCTCCTTTGGGCGACCGGAGGCGCGACTATGATGACAGGTCGCGCGGCCGATGATGGATACAAGCGCGCGGGCACTCTATTCTGCGCGCTCTTGTTCTCTCTTTGCTGCGTTCGCTCACGCACCTCAAATGAAGAGGAGAGGAAGAGGAGAAGGAAGGAGGAGGAGGAGGAGGAGGACAAGGAAAAGGAGGAGGAGGAGACGGAGGAGGAAAAGGAAGAGCAGGGGAGGGGGAGGAGGACGACGTGGAGGAGGAGGAGGAGGAGAGGGAGGAGGAGGAGGATGAGAATAGGATGAGGAGGAGGAGGTGGAGAAAGAGAGAGAGGAGGGGGAGGAGGGAAGAGCTAATGATGATGATGAAGATGATGATAATGATGATGACGGTGATGCCGATGATGATGAAGATGGTGATAATCATGATGATGATGCTGATGCTGGTGCTAGCTGATGCGGCTGATGATGTTGATGATGATGCTGATACGGTGCTATGCTATGCTATTCTATGCTATGGTATGCTACACCATAGGTTCCCCATTTTTTTGGAACATATGCTTTGCCATGCGGTGCTATGCTATGATATGCTATGCTAGACCACAGGTTCCCCACTTTTTGGACAACACTACTTTGCCATGTTGTGCTATGACATGCTATGCAATGCTATGCTATGCTACACCATAGGTTCCCCATTTGTTTTGGGGAACCTATGCTTTGCCATGCTGTGCTAGTCTATGCTATGCTGTGCTATGCTATGCTGCACCATAGGTTCCCCACTTTTCGGGGAACCTATGCTTTGCAATGCTGTGCTATGATGCTACACCATAGGTTTCCCACATTTTTGGGGAACCTATACTTTGCCACGCTGTGCTATGCTATGATGCGCTTCTATGCTATGCTATGCTACACCATATGTTCCCCACGTTTTAGGGGAACATATGCTTTGCCATGATGTGCTATGCTGTGCTGTGCTATGCTATGCTAAACCATAGGTTCCCCACTGTTTGGGGAACATATGCTCTGCCACGCTGCGCTATGCTAT